AAATGATGAAAAATTTATGGTTCGTGCCGAATGGATGATTTCTGGAGATTGGAAAGGTGCTTATAAATTCCTTTTCAAACTGGCACTTCTGTACTTTGGATGCTGTCGCATTTGGTGTTCTTTCGTGTGGGCAACAGCCAGTTTTAGCCAAGTTTTATAACTTGGCGATCGTGCAATTATCGCACCAGCGCCAAGTCACGAAATAATGTCTGACGACCATGGTAGGCCAGTGATCTTGATAGCATGTTTTGAATTGAACATGGCTGGCGTGAGCACTGAAAGACGTCTTGATGTCGGCGACAATCTGAGTTGGTAAAACGAGGAATACTGAGGGTATTCAAGTCACGAGACAATGCCTCACCATCATGGTGGACCTGTTATCATGCGAGTATGTTTTGACTTGAACACGGCGGTTGTGAATCCTGCGATTGATGGGCTGATGTGGTGGGCGATTGTCGTGATTTAACCCGTGCTGAGAACAGGTCCTCATGCCGATGACAATCCGGGTTGTTAAGACGAGCAGGATTGAGAGTATACAGTGATGGTTTCGAAGGTGCAGTAGCCACAGTCCTATACATATCAAAAATCTTATCGGGTCGATTTTACCGCGGTTGCAGCAAGTAGCGACACACCTGTAACCACGCACAAAGCGGCTTGATGTCGTACCGCCCATTTTTGTCAAGTATGTGGGTGCCAACGTGGATGCGCCAAAGCAATTCCCCATATTTATGCAATGTTGTACTGAAGCCTATAAATACCCCCATAAAAGCATAAATACTACCTCTGTTTCATCAGTCGTGTCCGATCTCAAAATTTGTCTGAACGGAGTTCGAAATCTGCGAGTCAGAAAATTTGACCGAGAAAAACTCGAAGCGCCATATCAAGAGCCGTTCGTAGAAATCTCAAAAGTTACAAATGATTCTGCCGCCCTTGTGATATGTGGAGAGGAGCTGAGACATGATTTTTCATTTTTAGCCGGGCATTGTATGGGGCAAAGCACGTTTGCCTTGCCCTTAAGAAGCGCTGGATTGGTATGAGCTGTCACTAGGAGACAGGCGCTCTGTGGTGGTTTCCTGTCCACTGAAGATTCGGCTTGATCACAAAATAAGTCTGCAAGGAAAAGGGTCTGAGTTCGCAGCGAAATTTGGGATAACAACAACAACTGCCTGCAAGTGATGATCAAAGGCCAAGAGAAACTTTGATCATTACAAGAGCATCTATCTTTCAGATGTGCCAAGTTTCTGAAGGCCGCACACACTGTCATCCACCAAGAAAACGCCCTAGATTTAAGAAGCATCACGATTCAGCATACTGGAAGAGATGTTACCAAAAAAGTGTGATAACAATGGTATAAAAATGTTAAAGAGTGTAGCAGTACCCAGGCTTGTTATTATGCCGTAGACACAGATCGTATTTATGCTTTTACGCGTAAAAGTGGTTTTTACGTTTTTGTGCATAAAAACGTGTAAAAATGCGTAAATGCAACATAAAAATAACCCCGTGTACATAAGGACAGTACATACAGCTTTCGGGACTCCGGGGAATGGCGTCCAGACGCACTGGAATGGGCAAAAAAGGAATTTTGTTCCCCTGCATCGTGGCCGGTGCCGAGTGGGAAGTGGGCGCTATGTTGCGGGCGCTCAAGGGGGTGGAATACTGGTCATTGTACGCAACTTCCATTGAGTAACCTGGGTTTTAAAATGAGCCGAAAAAACGTAAAAACCGCCTTAAAAATAGCTCCTTTTGCAAGTTTACGTCTTTACGCATAAAAGCGTAAACGTAAGAACGTAAACGTAAACGTAAACGTAAACGTAAACATAAACGTAAACGTAAATGTAAACATAAACGTAAACGTAAACGTAAACATAAACGTAAACTTAAACGTAAACGTAAGTAACAAGGCTGGTAGTACCTATATGTTGTCTACAAAAAGGTTCGCAATGAAATTTGGTGCATTGGGTTGGCACGTACTGGAATACGGCCATTGTAGCAATGCGGGGAATTGAGGCTTCCATGGAACTGAACAGGAGCGTTATTGAAAAGTTTGTTAAATGCCATGTTGCATGGTGACAACTAACATGGTAAAGATCCACATCAACCCCAAATCAACCAGAAAATCCCAATATTGTGTCTGTCAGATTCATTGATTGAGTTGATCTTGCCAAGTTCTAGCAAGACTTCGAGATCGGACACGACACGTGAAACGGAGGTAGTACGTAGCATCAAACAAACATGCTACACGGCGTTGCCTGCAGACAAATTTCCATCCCACCGCCTCTTCAAGGACTGCGACGCAGTACCGATCTCGCCATCGCAAAGGGCTACAACATCAACAACAGGCGGTCGTCCTACACCCACTGCAATGCACCTGGCTGCCACTCCCCCAACTCCCTGATGCGCTTGAGCTTGAGCACAACGTATGTCGTCTGAGACATACTGCCCCTGCCGGACGGCAGCATGCCACGCTGCTTGTTTCGGAACTGCCCATAGTAGATGCAGACACATTGATATGCCAATTGCGATGGGCCACGGCAACACTGTGCTAGTGTGCCCCGGCCAAGGCTGTGGGTCCATGGCTGCAAACATAGTAAGCCCATAATTCGTGTAAGTTGTGCATATCAGTGCAAATGAATATGCGTATGTAATAGAATTTGTACAATTATTATACTGACCCACATTCCGGCTCACATCAACCGATTCTAGCTGCACCAGACTGAAATTCTGACATGCCACTCTAGCCTACTTGAGGACCATTTTGACCAATATACATGTCATTTACTCATTTGCACTCTGTACCGCGGTAATATAACCACCGAATATTTGCAAGTTTCGAAAATCCATACCGCAGAGCACTGTACTTCGGTGTGGCAAACAGTACGGCAAAGCTCGGTACAGTAAGGCACAAGCATAGACCCCTGAGCCACGCTGAACCAACCTTGACATATATCAAGATGCATCTGCGAGTTTACTATTAAAATCTCTGAAAATGGGGTGCCCGAACCAAGGCGTCTCTTTGAATATCCCAGACCACCCTTTTGGTGCTGTGGAAAACCAGGGTTGACAACAGGCAACTTGCCATATGGAAAGTTGGATGAACATGTCCAATTTGCTTAAAATGACACGTTGCACGCATCCCATGACACGAAGAAGTCACCAACCACCCCGTATGTCCATTGCAGCCCACCCGTCGAAACTCACAATGGGCCTCACAAGAAGCTGCGATCTCAAGGTCTGTGCCAATAGCCGCTTCCAAGGGGAATCACACACAGTAGTGTGCTTATGCCAAAGCCACAATATACTATCTTGTAAAGTCATGATTGTATGTTACACTCTCTGCACTAGATTGGCGCGAAAACTACTGCAAAACTGCACGAACCGAATTGAGAGGCCCACATCTTTCCGCATCCAGCGTGCCCCGCTTTAAAAGGACAAAGGTCTCCTCAGCAAGCCAGCCATTTGTTTGGCACCATACGCCCTTGCTTGGTGGCGCTCAAGCATCCTTCCCTCCTCAGCACACGCAATCACTCTCTTTTGCATTTCAAGGTGCCAAGGCCCTCCAATCAGTGCGCACCTGCCGGGGAACACAACACACTCGAGCGTCAATGTTCCCTTGAGGCCCCAGCAGTCTCACGGCTTTCCTACCCTTAAAGCCCCATCGAGCCTGAACTAGGAGCTGCCAGTCTGGCAGCTGGCAGTGCCAGATGGGCAACGCTTACAGGCACGGACGACAAACTCGCACGGGCCGGTTCCACGCATCGGACCGACCGCTTTCGCACCAAGCGCAAGTCTCCGCCCGGCCTGCGCCCCAAGCCAAAGCCACGAGGGCCAGTCACACTGCAAAGCTGCCATGCCTGCCCCGGCCGCCTTCTGCTGACGCCGATCTCTGTCCAGCCCCTTGGGCACAGGTCAAACATACGTCACCCGATCGCCTTTGGTCGTGGATCACTGGGGGGAGCCGCCACCTGGAGGGGGCCTCGCGGAGGATGAAGGGGCCCGCGCCGGCGGGTGGCTCCCTGGAAGGAGGGCGCCAGGGCGGCATGAGGCAATTGGTCGTCGGCCGGGGAGGCGTGGCGGCATGCGTGGTGTTTGTGACGGGGGCTTCGTGCGCGGGGGAGGCTGTTCGGCGGTGTCGAAGGGGGAGGAGGCGGGGCGGTGAGGGAGATGGGCGAGCGAGGTGACGATGGGCCGGGGCCGTGGCTTGGGGATTGTCGCCTCCAGCCACGGGAGGGACGTCTGTGAGATTTGGTGCCCGAGATCCTTGATCGCTGTTGGTGGAGTTTGTGGGTCCGGGAATCAATGGTGCTTATCGGTGGTGCGTGCGCGTTTTATGGGATGTGGACGTCTTCACAAGCACGGCATTGTTTCCATACGGATGTGTGCCTAAGCAGTTGTCCTTCGTGCAGTTGGGCGCATTTGCCGCCCCAGAACTGCCTGCAGCCAGGTTCCTCAAGCCCGGTTTCTGGTCTGGTCTGTGTGGGATTGTGGGCGTGAAGCTTGGCGCGGAGCTGAATGGCTGCCTGCGTTTCTGACGCGCAGGAGACAATTTATACAACGCACGGGGGTGGATTTGATCAGCGGGGCGGCGGGTGAAGTTGCGGAGATGATAATTTGCTACCCAATGGATACCATAAAGGTACACATGAGCCCTTGCGCACGTGCATGCCTTGCTGAGGACTGTGCGGTTGCCTGGACGTGACGAGGTCTGGCTCGGACCACGCCTCTTGCAAGCACCACCAGTGTTCACGTGCCCGATGGTTGCTCCAATGGCACAGAAATCTTCGGCTGTCCGCACAGACCGCTTCAAATGGCAGTGACAGACTCAGGCGTGGACCATCCATGGATACAAACTGGGTTCTAATTCCAAGGGTGTTGCTTTCGGACAGGTTCAGTGCCAGGCACTCAACTGTAACTTTGTACAGGGCCTCAGATACTTTTCCAGGTATGGCTTTAATGGACGACTTCTGGGGAGATTGTATGCAGGAGCCGGCCCAGCCACATTGATGTCCCTGCTGGTTGGACCGCTGTACTTTGCCTCCTACAGTGCTGCAAAAAGGCTGGCGACCAATTGGTCAAAGCAGCCATCGAATCTGTCACCCACAGAGAAGCAAGCAAGCGTGAAGAAGGGTGGCCATGGCAGTGCCAACAATGGCCAGAGGGGGGTGCAAGGCTGGATTGCCATCAATATGTTTGCCAGCCTGGTGGCTGGGGTGGCCGTCTCTCTTGTGGAGTCGCCATCAGAACTGTTCCGGCACCAAGTGCAGGTGGGTGTTAATGTTGTGCAAATATGTGTTAATGCTGGCAAATATGGCTCTCTATTATTATCTGTATATTGACATTTTTGAAGGACTTAGAAGAAATATGCACGGATGGGCAGTCCCATTTGTGGCGCCTTGGCCTTTCAAACCCCTTGTATCAACTTGGCAAGCAGCAGGCATAGCTTTGGACAAGAAGAGGGTGGGAAGCCACTGCCCGCAGATGCGAAATAACTGTCCATTCTTTTGTTTCAATACAACTGGCGATTGAGGAAGTGCCAGCACTGAATGGCAGCTCCACATTGGGTGTCCGCTTGGGCCAGCAGCCAAGACTTGCTGCTGTCGTCTGAGCGAAGGAGTGATGCAATTGACGTGAAGTGAGATCGTCGAGCACAGTCGCACGAATTCGATGATAGCTGGTGCCATTGCCTTCTGGGGAGAATTTGCAGGTGTCTACGTTTGAATGCGCCGATGGGCTGAATGGCCTGAACGCCCACATTCCCGCCTGTGTGGCCTTGTGTGGGTGTTTGGATGCCGCTTCACCATTGCGGGCAACTGCGGTAGGTTGGCTCGAACTTTGGAGTATGCCGTCCAGAACATACGGAATGCCAGTAATCTCGTCACAAATTCCCGCCCACGAGGCCCTCCGATTGTTTTCTTGCGCCAGGCGGGAGTCGTCGAGCGGGGCATGTTCCCGACGATGCTGGCGGCGACGCGCAGGGGCGGCCTCCGCTCGCTCTACTTCTGCTACCTCCCCTACCTCATCAAGGCCCTGCCCCACGACGTCGCCGAGCTCATGACCTACGGCCTGCTCACCGACGCGCGCAGCGTGGCGCACGCCCACCCCCGCCACCCCCTGGGGGCCATCGCCGCCGTGCCCGATCGCGTCGGGGACCTCTTCGTGGGCGCCGCGGCGGGAATCATGGCCGTTCTGGTGTCGATGCCCGCGGACACGATCAGCACGCGCATGCAGACCGTGGAGCGCGCCGGGCTGAGGGAGAAGGGGCCGCTGGGGATGGCCGTGAGCTTCTTCGCCACGGGGCGCAGGCTGGCGGCGCGCGGTGGCGTGGGAGCGCTGTACAAAGGCTGCGCGCCGCGCCTGCTGCGGCACGTCCCGGCGTCGATGGTGTTCTGGCCCGTGCTGGTGGGGTGCCAGCGGGAGCTGCACAGGGCACTGGGGTACACTGAAGGGTGACCGGCCGTCCTGTTGTTGTCATTGGATTGGAGGATCAGTGTTGTGCAACCCCGATGTTGGCAACATCAGGGTTCATTGTGGGACTGAAAATGCAAGCAGGGTGGTCGCCCGGGCTTGCGTGCACAAGAACTCGCGTGGCTCCTGCTCGCCGCATCCCCAAAGTGAACCTCGACGCCCTGAGTTCGGAGGCCTCCATTCGGATCAAGTATCAAGGGGGTCACATATTTCAGGGGCGCTTTTTGTGTGGCCATTGAATTATTCGTTGATTGGCTGGGCTGGGCTCTGGGGCCCCATTATGTGGCAACGCTTGGGGGCAGGATCCGGCGTTGGAATGTGGCTCTCTTCCTTTGCGAATAAGGCAGGTGACAAGGACATCTTGGAAGTTGTCTGGATTGACATGGCGGCAATTTCAGGGCACAATTCATGCTGTGACATATGCTTCCTGCTGTTGTCCCGTTGGCACCCATGAACCCATGCACTTTGCAAGCAACTGGTTTCAAACGGAACGTGCAAGGCAATGCAAGACATTCCTCCCCTGCTTAACAGTGACTGGAACAGGCACCCACATTGTACTGACCTCACGCAGAAGTACAACGGACCCCCCACAGATGTTAGATATTTGGAGCGGCGTTGTTCTCCCCCAACTCAAGATTTCTTTGGCCATCTCAAATTAAGTGGCGCCCGTGATGCACGCCTGCACCCAACAACACAAGGGCCCTGTTCTTCTGTAACTGTTCTGCAGTTCGTCAGCTGGAAAAAGCCACACCTCGACCAGTACTGCAAGGTATGCCTCTGCACAGCACACTTCCTGCAGCAGACAGCGCCAAAGCACCTAAACCGCATAAAACCATTGATTACATTGATCCATTCGGACAAAGAGAGCTCAGAACCTGCGAGGCGGTGCGGGTAATAGGGGTGCAACAGGCTTGCATATCAAGGTGATTGTACTTACTGTCCCCATCAGTCATTCACGCTCCCATTTTCATGATGCATGAACCTCAAGTGTCACGTCACCACTATCAGCACTCGTCACATCGACTTTATCATTTGCACGTGACGATTGGCAACTTGCAAAACTCGTGACAACTGGAGCGAAACAGCATGAACCTATCATAGCTGGTCACCACGCCCTCCGGTCATGCCAGTACCCCCCATGAAAAAGAACAGCTCGACACCCTCTCTTCCAATCCCGAACCCTCCGTTCACCTGCCGTGCTGGTTTCTGCTATCCCAGCGCCACAATGGCGAAAGAAATCTACAATATCTGAGAGCATTCTCGCCTCTCTCTTCGTGTGGCACAACTCCGCCTACAAGCTACACAGTAGATGAAAAAATGGCCCCATGAAAGAAACAAACTCCTGCTCGAATGCACCTGCAGCTACCCGAACCCTTGCCCACACAAAGTTGTCAGGACTGGCATCATCATATTCAGGCGCGACAGGGTTCCACTATCGGTGATTATCCGTCGAGGGGATGAAGGCAAGGCTTGGAACTGGAAGCACCATGCACATGTTCGCTGCTTGCCTGAGATCCCAGCGTCCCAAGAGGCTGTTCGTCTGCTGAGGAATGTAGCAACCAGAAACAAAGCTCAGTCATGCCTGCAGCGAGTCTGACGGAGACAAGCCATCGTGGGCACAAATCTGTCCTTCCTCAACTGTATGGATTCTCAACAAAGCTTCTTTTTCGTACGCACCACTCCGCAGGCCCCAAAGCACCCGCCTGTGGAAGCCCATCCAAACCAAACTGTTGATGCTGTCCTTTCAAAAATCGTAGCAGCTGCCTACTGTCGTTCAGTGCTGCGAAATACAAACCATTCGTGACGCTGCATCGCACGCCTCCAGTCAAAGTTGGGCGCCAATTGCCATCGAATTCGTCAATCCGGCAGCACTTGCACCAAAAACGTGCTGCGGATTCGGTTCAACCCCCTTAAACACTGAGCGAGCAGCGCACATCCCCCCCCACATAATATGCAACCACCCATTTAAAAACAAGCCTAAATTGCAGCAAACTATGCAATGCATCAGCACTTCAAGGGTTTCCTAAAAAAAACACATCGAGAAACGTCCCCAAGTGTCCCAAAGGTGAACTGTACAATGTGCGCCTGAGTGCTGTCCACCCCCTCGCTGCAACAAATGGCGGTGTCCCAAATCACGAGGTCGGTGCCACGCTGGCGCTCCCATCGCCATCTGAACGGCTGCCTTGGCCTGCTTTGCGATCGCTCTGGCCACTGTGCAACCAACACAACAAGGAACACCCACTCAGCTAACTGTGCTTCCATACCAGTCCACGTGCAGGTCAATAGTCCCACTGAGCACAATGCTACACTCTCAAGGCTCAGATGAGTGGCCTTGGCAACAGCAGTGACCAAACCATTGGCATCCAAAAGCGCCACCAAAAGGAGATTGATCAACAACATGAAAGCACAAGAACCCATCCACCCCCAGTTTGGCAACCCTAATTATTTGTTACGCAAAGATTTTCATATGCACAGCTGAGGGTACTGGCCATACATTTGTTTTGGCAATGATGCGGCACAAATGATTGGCAAGGTGGTTCAACACTACTTCCAAGTCCACCTGAACCCAAATGCAGCCCCACTGCTGCATGCTTCCAGGGTCAAGTTCAACTTGAAGGTTGTACACAAGGTCCAGAAACGGGACAGAAAACCCCTGCATTCACAACCTAAAAATCACAAGCTGCATCGCCATTGTCCGACACATGAACTCAGGCTCATTTTCTGCTGCAGAGTGGTAAAATTGAGACCCACAACAGCATTACAAAGCAAGTTTACCAAAAACCGGGAAAAAATGTGGGTGTCTGCTTGCCAGCAACCAAGTTCTTACACCCCACACCTGTGCTCTGGCCAGCCAACTGCCACAGCTCCTCGATCCAATCCTGAAAAGCTCCCATCGTTGACAACAACCACAGGGCAGTCACTGCACACTGACGATGAGTCTTCAGCTGCTCCTTCATACATTATCACCTTCTTTGGGGCCAGCTCCACCAACCTCTGACCTTCCAAATCCTACCACAGCAGCAAAATGAGATTCTGTGAGTTCCTGCACTTGACTCCTACCAACCAGCAATCGTCAATCTCCCATGAGACGGACAGCGGCTCCAAACATAAACCATTGTACTTTTGGTGACCACCAACATATGCTCAAGAATGGCTTTGACTGGGTAGAGAAATCATGTGCGAATGCTGTGAATTGTGATGCCCAGTGTGTCGATCGCTGCATGTGTGGGACATGTCAGGTGCAAAACTGGGCATATCATCATCTGCATCACCCCATTTCAACCAAAGGTGCCACTGGAGGGCTGCCAATCACAATGCAGTTGCAAGGTGTCCATTTCTCCGTTGATGACCACAGCAAAAGAGCTTCATCTAATAGGCTCCTTGTGGTGCTCATGGCCATGAGCACAGCATATCTGGGGCAAGTAGCCTGTGTTCTTAACTGTGTTGTTTCAATGCTGGCTGATGTACACTTGAATCCAACATTGTGCAGATGTTCTCCTGGCATCCGCCCTCAACGCTAACATTTCCTTCATTCATGCCATTCTTGACCTTCCTGGAGTGGAACACTTGATACTACAATCGGTTGCCAGAATCGGAATATTGAAAGGCAGCTCACTGTGGCTTCATATCAAAACTGTAAGCTCGTTCTGAAACTGTAACCTTCTTTGGTAGTTTTTGTCTTTGGGGCTTGAGGTATTCACACTGCTACCAGCAAAGGCCTCGCGACCTTCAGTTAAACATGGACTACAGCACAATTGCTTGGACGCTCATGCGCTCCTTTGCGCAGTGTCTTGCTTATGGCCCATGTCACCTGTTGAGGCTGTTGTTCCCTTTCCCGCAGCCGTTGCTGCCGTATGTATTGCAGGACGACGTACAGAAATAGTAAGAAGGCCAGGACGCACGCTGCACCGCAACCCACAAACATGGTCAGATCAGCCAACGGGATCGTCGGGGCCTTGTGCTTCCAGTGGCATTCCTTGAAAAAATGGGGCAGCAACTTGGATCTCCAACGGATGCTCTTGATGCGAAGGGGATCCAGGGAGTGTGAAGGGTTGATCTCGATCGGAGGGGCCCAGGCTTGCGCGGCCTGCCTCCTGCCTGCTTTCAATCGTCGTCTCTACGCATTTCTTTCTACCTTGTTACGTTGGAGCCGCCTGTTGGCTTCAATGTTGGCTGACGGTTGCAAGGACGACCACAAAACGGAAATGCGCCATCTTCGGCATTGCAGCAACCGTCGAACGAAAGTTCAACCATCCAAATCTATCACCCTGCCCACCCGATCAACGCCACCGAAATTGTCAAATAGGCACATCGACTTTAGGGCGGCCGGCATCGACTTTGGGGGCGGGGTGGACGCAATTAATCCTTCCCCTCCGACGTCTGCCGGGCGGTTGGCAGACAGCCCGGTATCGACACCGGGCGCAGGGCACGCATGGGACGCCAGGCCCACCCATCTGTTGCTGGTGAGCGTTCGCACGTCCGTCCCAGAAATTATCCCGCATCTTAGAAAGCGCGCGCCACCGCCTTGCTGCCCAGAAAGAATGATGGGCATCGGCATGGCAGCTGCCGGCGCACGGCGAACGCGCAGGCCGCCGACAGGTATACACGGCAGCCGTTTTCCTTCCATGTCCCAGCTCTCCCCGCCAAAGCTCCCATTTCTAGGAGCTGAAACGCGGCGTCCACGCCTCCCCAACCCGCAATTGACAACTCCGGTCGGGTCACAGCGCAAGCGCAGGCGCACAACGGACGGGAGCAATCCCACGGCGCGATCACCCACCGCTCAAGACCATCAATTTGATCCCATCCGCCTCTCCCTCTGCCTGGCCCGCGATCTCGCTCGCGCTGCCCCCCGGCGCGGTCCCCCCGCTGGCAACCCCCGCCGACCCCGTCCCAAATCCATCGCCGCCGGGGGCGCAATCCACCGCAGGTGTCCCGTATCGGGGCCCGCCGCAGCTCATCTCCCGCGCCGCTTGGGCGCCTCACCCGCCCCTCGGCCACCAGCGCCCGTTCTTAAACCACGCAACTCGTCCGCGACTTCTGATCCTGCACGCTGCACCCGCTGCGGCGCGCAAGGGGACAATCACAGCGGCAATGGCCCAGAAAAGGGGGGCCCAGAAACGGGAGGGGTGTGTGCGGTGCAGCTGAAGGCCGTCTTGCCTCAGCGGAGAGTGTGGCCTGTGTGAGTGGAGCGGGGGCGGGGAGGGGGGGTATCCGAAGCTGCGGACCCCGCCAAGGCCCTGCCCGTGAGGGGGTGAAATTGGCCGTGCGCGGGGGGGAGCGGGAGCCCCCTGCGTCATGCCTCACCACATCGGGCCAGGGGTACGTGGAGCCCACCTGGGGCCAGCCTGGCGGATAGAGAACATGAGGGAAGCAACTGGCAGGGTACTCCTTGGGAGGCGGCTGCTGCTCTGCCTCCCCCTTCCCCACCATCCTCCGACGTAACGAACCGTTAATGGGTTAATTTCTTGTTGAATAAGGCGATTACATGATAATGCGATAGCCAGATTTCTTGACGTTGACGAAGGCAGGCAGGGTCGAAGGCTGGCGACCCCCGAACAGGGACCGTAGTCTCGAATCCACGGAAACGGTTTGCAGCCGAGCAACGGGACAACAGGAATACGGTTGTCATCACCATCATCATTTTTTACAGAACCAGGCAATGAGGTAGCCTTCAGCTTCCTACTTTGATCGAGCAAAGTAGAGTCTGTGATCAGTTCGTTGAAACCTACTGGTAAACACAAGCAAATTCTTTGAGTCTATTAACTCCTGATGCCCAGAAGCGATTGTCGATGAAAACACATCAAAAGAAGTGTCCTCGCTAGTTGGAGAGCAGGAACCGAAGCAAAAAGAGTTTTTGCGCTGCGGCATAGAAAAATACAAGAGTGGCTTCGACGGATGTTATCATAGGCCTGGCAGAAGAAGAGGTAATGGATCTCGTCTTCTGGAGCCAAGTGACATAAAGGACACAGGAGTACTGTCCCTCATATTCAATCCGTTCATCAATGTCCTTAATGCAATTCCTACAGCCTCATCTCTGCTTTATGCGTCCAACTGTTGGTGCTACTCAATCAGTTCTGGTTTAACCAGAACTGGGCTGTAGTAATACTACAATGCACAATACGATTGCTTGCCAGATTTCTTGACGAACACTGGATTCATTAATTAAATGGTCCATTGATTGGAGGGGACACGCCAGATGACTTGAATTTCCAACTCCCGCCAAAGCTGGAACCGAGGGACGGTCGGCTGTCAGCGCGGCGCGGTGCGCGGGGCCCTGCGGCTGCGACGCTGGCGCTGCCCTCACCGACGGCGCGTCCAGCCGCCGCCCCTCCAGCTGTCGCATCCGCGCCGCCCTGCACCCTGCCCTGCGCGCTCCGCGCTGAATCTCCTCCCCGGAGTGACGCCTCCCCTTGCTGCCTCTGTCATCGGACGGCGGTCCGCGGGGTGGGATTCCGGCGATGCAGGTCTTCGTGAAGATGGGCCAGCCGCTGGGATGGCAGGCGGTGGAGGTCGACCCGTACGACACGGTGGCGGCCATCAGGGAGAAGCTCACGGTCAAGGTCGGGCTGCCCCTGCCTTGGCACAAGATGGTGGGTGGGCCCTCGCGTCGCTCCGCTTGCCGCGCCCGCGCCTCGCCGCGAACCCCGCCGGGAGTTTTCGGTATGGATTTGTTTCGGTCCGCCTGATTTTGTCCTTCTGATTGGCTTGGTGTTCGTTTGGCCGGCCTTGGAATTGGAAATCTGCTATTCGTGCGCCCTTGGACGGGCCAAGGGTTTGTGGCGTTCCTTCCGGGGGAATGGGGACCACAGGCTTGGGGACGCTGTGGGTTGGACGGGAAATGGACTCTGTTCATTAGAGCTTGGAATCATGCTGGACGATGCGGCGCTGTCGCCGCGGCTCGCTGGGCCTCCGCGTGGTCTGGCCGCAGGTCGAATTGATGGAGCGGCAATCGCGAACGTCACGAGCGCCGCTGGGGCACATGTTGAAGAGCGTCCGTTGGTTGCCTGGTTAAGTGACGAATCGTGACAGCGTGGCGTCGGATCGCCGTTCGGCGCGTTGTCGATGCGTGTGTTTGGTCGTGTCCGCCCCACCCAGGGCCAGCCAATGAAGTTCCATTGCGCGCCATTGAGCAAGACTCGTTGGCGGGCCTCTGTGCCACACTGCGAGATGGATGCAGAGGCTTCCGTCTGCAGTAGACTCAAAGTGAAGGAGAGTGCTGACGAGTGCGGGCTCTGCTGCAGAGAGTGAAGAAGTTCTTCCTGGGCTACTTGAAGGACGGTGTCCCCCTGGTGGAGCAGGGCCTTTACCATGGGGCTCAATTGGACCTAGCACCAATCATGGGAGGCGGGAGAGGTGACGGCGGGCTGGCAGGCGCGGAATCCAGGGACTGCGATCTGGCGTTGCACGAGACAAGAAAAGCGGCCAAGGTAGGCGCTTCTCAAAATTAGCCCTTCCTGTATGTACCTTGGAATTTGCTGCACCTTTGTTCTAACATTTCAGCAATGCCACTGTCGGTTGATGAAGAGGAAAAGCAGGTCAGTCATTGGGCATTTCCCTTCCTGGGAGTGCAGCTTGCACAATTTCCTGCACTGGGGGGTGTCATAGCTGAATCCATTTCTGTGGCGTACTTGAAAATGGCTCTTTTGAGGAGGAGCATATTAGGGATGAGGAGTAAAGTTTATCTTGAGGCAAAATGTAAGGATGGCAACTAGAGTCGATGCTACAACAGGGCCCCAACTGCACATGTGTGACAGGGCTAGCAGGTTTGGGATCACAATTTTGAGCTCGAGATTGCGATGAACTGGTGTGCAGAGTGCTGACATCCTGGAGGCCAAACTTTTGGCTTGAGCGAGCCATGATTTATTGCAGAAATTGCTAAGGCACCCCCCAACCTGATGGATTCTAGTTGATAAATTTGCTTTCTGCATTCTGACATAGGGTCAGTGCTATTTGCTGTTTGTAAAAAAGCTAGCATTCAGGATAATAGTTTGGGGGCAATCCCTTCCAAGTGCCTGTAACAAAAATCAACAAAACACTGCCCATTCACAATTATGCAGTGCAATGTACACCTAAACAACCTAAACATGCAGCATTTTCTGCCTTATTAGACACCTTTGATTGCGCCTGCTGAAACACAACAAGTGGCCTTTCTTTGCATCATAAGGCGATTGCGTTGTGTGGTCCTGCCCCTATCGATCGCCTTATGTCTCTCACAATCTAACTGGCAAAGTGACATACCACCTTCGATGCATTGTGTCCATGGGGTGTGAGCAAGTTCTCTGCAAGTAACCGCCAAGTTTCATTCTTGCCCTTGACAGGTGAACCCAATCGAGGAGAGTTGTGCAAGTTGGAGTCGCAGTCAGCTCTCTGGGGAGCAACTGGAGCCGCCCTGTCTCTGTGATGTGCCTCTCACCTTTCGCAACAAAGAGACCAAAGGGCTGGTGCACAAGTCCCTGCCACAGTCATTGGACCACATCAGCAACCTGAGGCATGTTGTGGACTTGAAGCTGACAGCAAACTCAACGTACGGGTGGGAGGGACGATGTGTGAGCCACACAATGGGCCTGCCGATGCCAGCTTTGTTATTTGCTGCATTGATTTTTGCATGCACAGTGTGAGGGCAGCTTGGAGCATTGTGCATGAGTCCGTTTTGTGTTGTAAGCACTCCAGTTGTGAAGTGGAGTCTTGGAAGGTGCAATGAACACAGCAGAGCTTCTGACATAGAACAGAAGTCAAACGAATTCGACTGACATGTTGTCAACAACCTGATGGGGCGAACTGCATCAACTGTGTCCACTCGTGCTGAAATCATCATGGCTGGAACTGTCCCCAGCACTCGAAACAGGCTCTTGAGAAAGAACACCATGCAGATAGATTTCCGGATATGCACGCTGTTTGTTATCAGACTGTCTGAACACTGTCCTCATGTTCTATTGCTCGATGTCTGTCATTCAGGAACTTCCTGGCAGCAAACGGAGAGAGCTACATGCACACAAAAGAGCAGCTGCTTCAGTTCCCAGTGACAGGTACGTTGGGGAGCTGGCTCTTAAGAGCAATAGTAGAGGGGGCTGTGCTTTGCTGCATTTGTATTGGAAAAGATGGGTGTTGTGTGTAAGGAAAGGTTGCGTTATCTCAGGCAATTTTTTGGCCCACTGTTATTGGCTCTGTCCTTGTTCTTTGCAATGTTGGCCTGCTATGTTTGTGTATGTTTCATTGTGGGGTTTGATAAGGTAGAGGGGACTGGAGTTGGTGTACAGGTCCATGTTTTGAGAAAATGATAATCCTGTGCAACTTGGGAAAGATAGCGATGGCTTGGAGGCTGTCATCAGCAGCTGTTGTCCATTGCTATGTACAGGACCATGTTTTGCTGTCTGAGTACATTCGGTTTTGTTGTTGGTAACAACGTTGCTGTGCTAGTGTTGCGTTGAGAGTGTGGTAAGCATGGAAGTTTGTTTATCCCTGTGTTCAATTTGTGTGTGTATATGCTGGTGTTCCAGAACTGGGCTCCACTGGTGAGCTTGGCTTTTCAGCTCTGTGCAACACTGGACGTTTTGTGGGCCAAGAGTCCGAGAACAAACACCCTGAGGTTATTGAAGGCTGCAAGGGATGTGGCTCGGACAAGGAGGACCTCATGCAAATCAATGGGGGACAGGAGGAGCTGCCTGCACTGAAGAAGCACTTGATGTATCGGGGTCCGGCAGAAGAGGTAGTGGAAGCAGCAACGGAATTAATGCATAAGACGAACTTCAAAATTTGCAAAACACAACTAGCAATGGTGGTGCCTGGGGAGCTGCCCAGGCATCTGGGTGGTATTGTGGCACTGCAGTTTGGTACTGTTTGTGATGTCAGCGTTAGATGAGGTGATATTGTAGTATCAGATAAGCGCCAGATGAGCTTGTCCCAGACAGCAGGTGATAAAAGATCCAAATCCATTGCAGCGCGCTGTACAGGAGTATAAACATGGCGATGTCAAGGTACCACACAGGCTCCCCTGTGGGTAGCAAACCTCCATGTGCTCAAGGCCTCGGTCATGAGGCTGCATAAGAAACGAACATCAAATAAAGATTTGGAACATAGATCTGCACACGCTTGGTAGCTTTGCAAGCCCTTGTGCTGTTGGTACTTCCCATTCTTTTGTGCACGTGAGCAGCATTGTCACTTGAAACAGCAGTTTGCCATTTGGGTGTAATCGCTGTGTACATGAACAAGAGTACATGTTTTGTTGCTTGTGTTACTTGCCCGCCACCAACCTCTGCATGATCGTGCAGACATGGCGAGCAGCAGCGAGAGTTGTACAGTGTCCCAGGTCCAGGGCTCAGCTCCAGCTTGTTCAGCATTTCATGGACAGGCGCCAGGAGTTGAGCTGTCTGTGCAGCAGACTTGTTGTTCTCTGTATTGCACACAGTGGCAGTCAGGCTCATTCCGTGTCATGTGGTGCAATGCAGGTAAAGAAGGGGAAGAAGCGCACTGTAGAAAATGCAGACCAGCAACAAACGCAGGTGCAGAACCTGTTCGACCCACTGCTGGCCTCTCTTGGATATATCTGTCACGTCCTGGTGGAACTCAAATCCACCCTTGAAATTTAGGCTGCTTATGTACTGTGCACTTTCTAATTTCATGATGCTTTGGCAAGGCAGTAGACAGTTTTCAAGGCCTGATTGTTACACAAGTGTAGAATTTTTTGGACCACTGGAAACGTCCCTCAGATGGTTCTTTGCTTGTCTTGCAGCATGAGAGCTTGGAGCCTAAGAAAGTGAGGGTGACAAATTTTGCTCCCCTGCTGGCTTCGAAGGACGTCTATGCATCGATCTTCAGCTCCACACGACCTTGTGTTGGCCAGGCGCACAGGTGCTGCACTGCGGGTGCAAGGGGCGCCAACCTGCCTCGGCCAGACACCCCCGCTTGTGGTACATGGCTGACGTGATGTAAACTAGCATGAAGGCTCCAAGACATTTAGTACCATCTGAGCAAGGAGGTGGGCACATTCCTTATGTAGGAAGGGGGTCATTGCAATGGCCCCTCTGGGAATAGTGTGTTTCTTGAAGGATGACTGGTGAGGGAGCAAACTCTCGATATAGTTCTGTAGCTTCCAATAGACTTCTGATAAAGTGCCTGTGGATCGGCGCATGGCAATTACTTGAAACTCAAGACTTGAATACGCTCATTTCAGGGGACGTGAGATTGGTGTTGTGAGGGGACATAGCTATCATGGAGCGCTCTTGTGAGTTTTCGAACGGGGCACAGCTGCCACTCGGACCCACTGGCAGTGTGCAGTGTGCCTCCATTTGTGAGGATGAAGAATGAGACCTGAGGGATACCCGGTTTTGATAGCTGTCTTCTTGACCGATATCCAAAATATTGAGGCATTTACCGGTGGCAGCCTCCCAAAGAATGCTCTCTTTTTTCCATTCACAGAAATGATCAGCAACCCCTGAACCAGGGGAAGGCATGCGCCCACAATGCCACAGAAATCATAAGTCTATGCATATATTTGCTATGTTTATCTTGCCTGTTATGGCGTTGGAAACCACTGCCTTTTCTGGCATCTCCGTCATCGCCTCAGAGAAAGCGTGCATGAATACAGGACACAACGTCATGCCCACCGTGGACTCCTAAGGGAAGGCACTATGTCGAAATCTGGAAAAGGGTGGAGGTGGGGGGGATTATGCAATTGACACAAATTCGACATAATGTGGGAGGATACAGCTTCCAGGGGCCACTCGTGCCCAGTGCATCGTGCTCTTGTGAGGCGTGCTCCCGGGTTTCCAGGGCACCCCTGTCAAGCGCACTGTTGCTTGTACTGACACCAGGCACAACCCTGTTGGAGATAGGGCAACAACGCGTGTGGTCTGGGAGGCCTTGTGGGAGTGGGGCCTCTTGGACCTTCCTTTCTTGTAAATATTCTGGAGTTGTGCAACACTGGTGTCAACAAAATGTGTTGACGCAATTCGGTGTCACTGTTGGGGTTCATTTCTGTGCCTGCCACTATTTCAAATGCGGAGGAATGTGCGAGTCCCTTTTGGCAAGTGCACTGGGTTGCATTATGTTGGAAGAAAAATTTCGTTCCCCGAGCAGTGGCATGTATTGATATGCATCATAGTCTTGGAAAAGTGCTGATCCACACAATGTTTCCACATACAACAGCTGCTCGTGCTTGTGTTGGACTGTGATTTCCATTGTCCCTGTTTCAAAGAATCATCAAAAAGGAACATAAATGTGTTCCACAGCATGGCTTTAGCCTATGAGATAACATCCTAGCGAGTGGACGTCTGGATCTACCCAGGGCAGGCTTGACATTTAATTCCTTCGTTTATATTGTAAGGATGTATGAGGAGGACAGCCTTTTGCACCTGACTAATGGCATTATACGTCAGCACCGGAAACAGGCCAACCGCACATCCCATGAAATGGACACAGCAATTCATGGCCATCGGCAGACGGAAAGGGCACGCCATCGTGCAGCACGATCGCTGCGCAACACATTTTCTGCGATGTTCTCAGGGACAAGATGGAGTGCTTCAAGCGAAATTCCGTGCCTTCTGTGGTCCTTTCAGCTGACACCAGCTGAGACAGTTAAAACCGCTGATGGGTTAGTAACCCGGCCTGCAATGGTAGCATCAGATATCCATGAAATATGCCATGGTTTTCGGCTTGTCACATTCAGCCAATGGCCGCCATGAGGAGTTGGATTCTTGACCATGCTTCTGTGTATTGCTGTGACTGCCTTCTTGAGGCCTCTTAGAAAGTGCTCGAGCGAGAGAGGTGTCAAATTCTGAGGTACAGAACCAGTTTTGTGCACAGCACAAAATGCAGCCAAAAGCAATGCTTCTTTGCTTGGAGCTTCTACAATGCATAGCACTAATGTACAGGCCTGCGCTATATCGTTCCTACATTATACCTGTCAGGCCAACAACATCAATTTGTGGACCATGAATCCACACCCACTCCAAACCGACCTGTTGGCCCAAGGCCGTGGCGGGCACCACATGTATCTGCAGTCAGCGCCTTGCATCACGACTGTCCGTCCGTCATCTCTTTGAGAACAGTGCTGATCTCATCATTCGCCATGGGTATGCAATACACACTGGCCCCATCCTGGCCCTTCTTCATGACAACCAACTCGTGATCCCGAAATTCTGTGAGATAGGACTTCAGGGTGAGCTCACTGGACACCAGGAACCGCTCACGGCACATTCGAAACAGGTGCGGCAAGGAAATGCCTTGGTCAGCGCCCTCCTCTATCTGGAACTCTCCAATCAGCCTAAAGATCTCTCTCGCGCTCGGAACGAGCGTCCGCAACACCACCGCCGCACCTCTGCGAGCAGCTTCCTCTCTCCTGCCTATGAAACACATGCCATGAAGGGCATGAGCACATGGTTATACCATTGTTTGTCACACATATTGACAACCCTTGATGGCACCACACTCTTACCCAACAGCAGCAAACCACATGCACAAATTCAGTCAGTCATGACATCCAGGATGGCAGACATACTTAGGGAGCTGGACCGGCACATGGCAGATGCCCAAGATTTTTGTTGTGAATGTTGCATGAAATGGGATAAAGAACCAGAAATGCGCTGCGATGGGAATTGAGGACACCACCTGCATACTTGCAAGCTGCCAGACACTCCAAGTCGCATTATTTTCACTCGCGTCTCTGAGCAACGTGGTCCAACAGGGCTCCAATTTAAGCACCACGCTGGGATGCAATCCAAACAAAATGGCATTGCTTCCATGCCAGGACCTTGCATGTCACCCAGCATCATAAGACTATCATATCATGCTTTGGCCAGTTGTCATGGCTGGAATGATGCACTGGGTACTATTGCACTAAAATTTGGATACAGAAGCCACCATCCCAGGCTTTGCACGCAACGCTTTCTTACAGTTCAGACCATATGCTGCATCTTGCTATGTACTGTGCCAAGAACCACAAACCAGCTCTCAACAAGGTCAGCTTCACACACAATCTGCTTGTGGAATGGCATTTCTTCTGCCAGTGTTGCAACTTGCAAGACCAAAGACCTTGTACATACAAGGGGCGTGTGGTTGGCGCAGCTGCACTGCACCGCTGTTCGTCCACCCTGCATTTGCATTTATCTCTTGTCACCAAACAGGCCAAGGCATAGTCAGGTGGCTTTCTCAAGAAAAGAAAAGATACCCTCAAATGCAGAAAACGAAAGCGACTGCCAAGAACAAGATTGAGACAAGATTCAAATCAACAAAGATCTAGTGCCCATTCCTGCTACATTCACAAAGCAGCTCACCAGCGACTGCAAATGGGATCTCCGTAGACTCCACAATGTAGCGACGAAATGTTGTGCAGTCCTGCAAAGACCAGTTGAATGCTGCTGCGAGTTGCTTGTCCCAGAGAATGTGCGCATTGATGTGGTCCACAGATGCCAAGACTGAGATGTTGGGACATACTGCTAGCTGACTCAACAGCAATTGATCCTCAACCGTCCGCAAACCTGGAGGATGGAACAGCAGGTGCAGCACCATAAGAACCATGTCCTTCTCCACCTTTGAGAATGGTTGTGTTCTGTCACCAGAGCTATCCCCAGAAATCTTGTCAGTGAATGCAGCAACAAGAGCTGTAACCAATACACGAGAATTGCAGGGTTCCAACAAGCTCAGCAGTACATTCGACGTTGTAACTGGCACTGATGTCAGCAGTCCTTGTGGACTGCCAGGTTCACAGTGTATGCTGCATTACAACAGGGGCCTCACATCACCACGCCATCCAAGAACGTGCGTACGCCACATCATACCAGGGCCATCGATGTTGTGGATCACGATGTAGAGGCACCGGCCTGAGATGTCGGCACCAATCCGTTGAACGAGTTCATCTGGGGGGCAGGTTCTGTGCACAAGGCCAGCATCTCACAAAGCAATTGTGGAGTTGTGATGGATATCTGTTGCACCCTCAGAAAAGCAGCAACCATGAAACCACACAGATGGTCGCATGGGACACTGCAATAGCATCAGACACAGCACTGTGTAAAGTGCAACTAGCACCCTGAATCCAGTAGGATAGACCACTCCTCACGTGCAATTGGTGCTGTCCTCTTTGCATGATGCTGTACTCCTCCAAAGGAACACAGAGGCTCCTCACACTGCAATTCTTTTTAACGGAGGGCATGTCCATTGCTTGGCATGTTTCTAGCTGGACTCGACAATCTGCGCTGATCGCTTGGCAAACTGGACAAGCGACAAAAGCCCTCTTGCCCAGATAAGAAATTTTAGCATGATTGTAATACCTGAGCTCTGTTTTTGGCAGCCGAAGCAAAGCGCCTGCTGCAGCTGCCACAATCTTCTTGGCGTTGAGCTTGCGCAGGAAGCCATTCACTCTCAAAATACCGCCATTGTTTAACGTCTCAGAGAAATCATCCAGCAATTCTCTCTTTGACCCCAGTCCATACAGCAGGATGTTGAAGCCCAGACTACAGGACAACACAGATGTCAGCAACCGCAACACCACACACGCTCATGGCAAACATGGCTGTGGCACAAATGGTATTCCGTTCTCAGATGATGATCCTGGCTGGCCGGGTGCAAAAAGTAGAACCCAGCGAGCTGGGAAGCCCCACACACACTCCATGTGGCAGATGGTAGAACAAGGTACAGTCTGTTAACACAGTTCACTCGAATGGTGTGCAGAAAGACGATCTTCGGAAATTGAGCAACCATTGCTTGACGTTCTGTGCGCGCCATCGCCTGTCTGCAAGGCGCCAGGGCTTCGTTTGCGTCAAGGCTGCTCCGACAACAGTGTTTCACGAAATTTATAATCCCTCCTCCCACCGAATCTGCAGCCTCCACGTGCAGAACTGCTGCTCGTGCCGCTGCATTAGCGCCATCCGCTCGTTGATGTTCTTCTCCGGCAGCCTGGCCAGGATCTCGCGGAGAGCCCCTTCGTCCGCGCATCCCACCTCCAAGACATCCGCCACCCGCCTCTTCCCGACCTTGGGCCGAACGTGCTTCCTCGCAAAGTAGCTCACCTCACCAGGCCCGCCGGCCTTCAACGGGGCGTCTGGAACGGGCGCCACAGGCAGCTCTCATCAGCCAACAGGCAATCCCACAGATCGCGCAACATCCTCTCCGGCTACTTTGCGCTGGGCCGCTGATCATCCCGAATGGAGATCCCGCGCAATCTCGGGACCGGCTTTCAACAGGGCGTCCGAAACGAACACTGCAGGAAGTTATCTTCTGACAAACAATCCAGCTGATCGCACAAAATCCTCTCCAGCTGCACCGTGCCGGGCTGCCGATCATTCCGAATGCCCACGCCGCGCGCCATCCCCACCTTCCTTTCTCGTCGATTTCGATCCTCTCCTTGCGGCAGCTGCCGCCCGTCCGCATCGCCTTCGAGGACCCATGGTGAGGGCTGGCCGGGGGCCTGGGCGGGACTGTTGCGATCCCGCCCTTTTGCCGATGAATGCTGGCACTTGCGTGTTGTTGTACACATATATATATATAGGCAGCGGGGTGTATATAAGACAGTTGACTGGAACCGGCAAGCCCCTGACTCACGCGAGGCCTCTCCTTAGCAGCTCTGCCGCAGTTTCGCGCAGACACCCACCGGACGCACCCGCTGCTTTTTCTTGCGCGCCACCACGACCCGACGCCCGCCGATTCGGGCAATTTCTCACCCGCCAACGCCTGGGCCTCCTCCGGGGTGGGGCCAGCCACTGCCAGGGGCACCGCAGCCCTGCCCTCCCCCCCCTCCTGTCTTTCGCCCAAGCCCAAGCCACCGCGATGTACTATCCCATCCTCACCCCCACGGACGTCGACGCCGTCGTGCGCGCGCAGGCCCTGCTGGACTTCGCCCGCCTGGAGCTCGACCTGGCGATCGCGGGCGCCCATGCCGCCCGTGCCCATCTGCAATCCTCGCGCGAGCGCCATCGCATCGCGGAGGCCGCCTACCTGAGGCGCCTGCGCGACCCGGAGGTGGCCTCCAGGGGGTGGTCGTTCATGGATGCCAAGGGGAGGGAGAGCGCGATGTACTCGCTGGCGGAACTGGTGCCGCTGGCGCGGGAGGTGCCCACGCTGCGAGTGAACTGCGGGATGCAGGAGCTGTCGCTGCGGCTGGCGGACGCGCTGAACTCTCAGAGGGCGTTTTTGAAGGCGATGAGGCAGGCCGCGTCGGCGGGGGCGGCCCTGGCGGAGGCGGAGGAGGCGTTGGGGCCGGCGGAGGCCAAGGTGAGGGGGACGCGGCCCGGCGGGGATCGCGCCGGACGAATCGGAGTGTTGGCCTGAGTTCGGACGACCTGTTGCGATTCATTTCAGCTCTGATTTGTCGTTGCTGGCGGGTGCCTGTGGAAGGGCGTGGCGCGTGTGAGTTTGATTGAGGGTCGGAGGCGTGGTCTGGGGCTGGGGGTTGGGAGGAGGGATTGGCTGTGATCTGTGGGACGCAATCAAGCAGGTGACGGTGGGGTGGGGTCAAGCGAAGGGCTTCTGTGGCTGCGCAGCTGGGTGTGCTTGCCAGGGAGTGATTGGCTCCTGCCACCACGGGCCTGTCTAATGCCCAAGTTGAGAACGTGGGCCCGTGCTTGACAGACAATACGGGCCGCTGTGCACAGCGCAACCCGTCGGGTCACTGCAGTGGGAGAGAAGGGAACAGGATGGCACCCTCCCTTCTTTATCCAAGCCAGCGGCCCGCGCAATGCCGTCCGGCCCTCGATCTCGATTTGCCTAGTTCCTGTCACCGACCCAGTCCTGGCGACGCAGGTGGCCCCGGCAGAGGCCCGCCACGCCGCCGCCAAGGCCGCCCTGGACTACACCAGGCAGTCCTACCGCCGGTGGAGCCTGGGTGGTCAGCTGTACACCCCCGCTGAGCTCAAAGACGGCTTGGACGCCGAGCCGGCTATCGGCGACGCGTCCGTGTTCGATCCTGAAGCCTGCCCCTCCCGACGCCTGCCCGCCAGAGACGCCGTGGCCGCCTGGGAGGCGTCATGCCGCCTAGCCAAGGCCGCAGCCGTTGCCTGTATGGATCTGGGGGGCGCCAGGAGCATCCCTTCCTTCGGCATCGACAGCGAGTGCTGGCTGCTGGACGCCCAGGGGGCCCCGTCGGCCCCATGCTGCCTCCGCGACCTGCGATCATGGGTTGAGACCGCTGACCTGGGGCCCTACGCCACAGTGCGGCATTTTAACCGGCCAGATCTGCCGCTCCCCGCGGCTCACGCCTGCTTTTTCAAGGAGCTGGACGCGGTGGTGTGGGGCGTGGAGGGCGGGGAGAGGGCGATGGGAGGGGGCGAAGGGGAGGCGTCGGAACGGAACGATGAACAAACGACGACAACAGACGGCGGCTGTGAGGCGCTCTGCCGGAGAGGAGAGCCCGCTTGCGCGGACAACGGGCACCAGAACGACAGCCCAAGCGAACGGACCGGGCTGGGGAAGACGCCTGAGGGATGTATTCACAGGGGCGAGCGCAGGGAGGCGGTGGGCAAAGATGTCGAGGGGCGTCAGGGGGAGGAGGGCGGGGGTGGGACTCCTCGCGGGGACAAAGGGGAGCGAGGCGCGGAGGGGAGCGGGATGGCGTCCTTCGACGTGATCAAGCACTTCATCACGTCGCTGCCGATGCCGAAGAGGCGTGCCGGCGCGACGCCGTTCCCGGTAAAGAGGCCAGCACCGCCCCCCCTTGTCTGCGCGCCGAGGGCGAGGGCGAGGGTGGACGCGGAGGACGGCGGGGGGGACTCTCAGGGCGGGGATCTCCGGGAGGATATTTCGGACGAGCGGGAGGGGGAGGAGGACAAGGAGGAGGAGGAGAAGGGGGAGGGGGAGGAGGGCAACGAGGAGGAGAAGGGGGAGGAGGACGAGGAGGAGGACGAGGAGGAGGAGGAGCGGGGGCAGAAGGAGAAGGAGGAGCAGGGGCAGGAGGAGAAGGAGGAGCAGGGGCAGGAGGAGAAGGAGGTGTTCTGCGAGGGCTCCTGACGACGAAAGGGCCACCACCGTGGGCGCTATCCGAACTCTGGGATGTTCTTGTACGAGTGGTCTTGTGCCCAGGGCTGGGAGGCGCTCCGGCAAGGTGGTCGCAGCCGGTGGGGGTTGCCTGCGGATTGGAAGCAATTGGGCGGGCACAAGGGAATTGCAGAGTACTCGGGGACTGTGAGGGAATGAGTGAGCGCCATGCTCCTTTAAGCATCGAAGCTGGCGGCAACTGTGGGGCTCTAGCTGCGAAGCGGAACAATGCTAAAAGGAAGACAAGAGGGTGGGGGTTGTGACAAATGGAATGTCAGTATTGGTCATGGCTACACAGCGGTCTTTGAAGGGGCCAACCAACATGTCCTGCACTTCCCTTCAACGACACGCGTTAATGGAGCATGGAGCAATGGGGTGACCGGAGTTTGTATTTTTTTACAGTGGGCCACAATGGTGGTGTACCGTCTTAGTACTATACTCAATATGGATTATAGGGATGTGTGTAGGTCACAAGGTTTAGCCACCAATGAATGTGCATATAGCATAAAGATATGGTCATCATGAAATAGGAAGTCGGTGCTGCCATAAGCAGCTGTTATGGCTTGAACTGGGCTTAAGTAGGGAGGCTACAAGGGGTGGCGTGAACTTCTTAAATGTCACACAACTGCTGTACATTAAGTGTACACTTCAGTACTTTAGTGTACCGGGGCAAGGAGGGTGCTGACCAGTCAGGCCCAGCACCCAGGTTTGAGTAGGTGTCCGGGTGGGAAGCCATGGGGCACCTATCACATCGTTTTGGGGTGTTGGAGGGTACGGGGTGTCCACCCTTGTGGCAGTGCCCTGGCAGCATATGGTGCTGATGGGTTACTAAGAGTCTGTTATGCCGGGGAAGGGTCCTTCACCAATTTTGACAAGGGGTATGTGAGTTTGTACTGCCAGATGGGGGTGTGTTCTTTTCCTGCCCAAGTGGCACATTTTTGGCACGCTGCAAAAGAGTGAGCGGCACCCACTCTTCAGCAGCATGCCAAGGATGGCACACTGTGAGAGTCACCACCCTTGCGCGACAGCACGCAAGTTCGTGTGTGTTCATACAGCGTGTTCCAACGCTGCTGGCTTCTGGCCGCCGTGGGCTTGCACTGTGCTCATCCTGACAGCCCCTGGGACATACATCTGCTCATTTTGAACAGGCTCCTTTCTTCAGTTTTCCTTTTGTTTCGCTCCCGAGTGTTGTACTTCCTGCAGTCGTACAAGGCCATAAATGGCCCATCGCATCGCTGCTAGGGAGGGCAGGGTTGTTCCCAGGCGGAACAGCGAGGCATGATTCCCATTTTGCTCCATTTTTAAGGAGACTTGGTAGTAGCCATGGGACAGAACAAGGCGGGAACAACTGAGAGCGCAACAGCTGTCAACATAACTTCCAGGAGGGGTGTTCCAACACATGACCGGTTTTCTGGATTCAGTAGAAGCAAGTGTTTCAGTGCACACACATCACAACCTCCGTTTCACTTTTTAGATAACCGTAGGCTTGGAGAAGACCGGTGCCTTCAGAATCAGATAGTATCCGATTGGCTTGACCTCCTGGCATGTCACAAGTATAGCAATATCCAAAACTCTTTTATTTCGGCCAGGAGCCACTGCCCAGCACATAACAAATGCGTGAAACACCGTCGCAGAGGCGCAGAAATGACATCAAAAAGCAGCTCTTGGGCCGACTGGCAGGCAACTGTGCCTACCTACATGATGCGCAGGCTCTTCACCTTGCCATTAATTGCTCTCCTTCTTTGGGGAAAGTGGAATGCACAGTGATGCTCACAGGATCTAAAAAATAATGACGCACCACAAAAATTGAGTTCAGATGTGCCGCGTCGCCTTGCTCCTGTGTCAGGAGATGCGACGGACAATGTCGTCCAGACCATTCAAATCCAGTGAGTCCATTACGTGGACAAAGAGCGAGGTTCCCCACGATGAACGCAGTGGTTGACAAGCATGATTGTGGTGCACCTTGATTTCAGCAAGGTTCTTTGCTTGTCTATGTATGACATTTTGGGGGGCAAATTCACTCGTTCAAATTACTTAGGAGCTCAAAAGAAATAGGAAACCTTCAATGCGGACGATGGATTACGCTCATTGCATCGCTTGTAAATTTTTCTCGGGCATCTATCGAAGTTGAGGTTAGGTAAGACGTGAGACTCGCAAGTCTTACGTCTACCCCCGGGTCGCCTGGGGCGAAAGGAACTGCTTCCTGGCTGTTGGAACAGGTGCGCCACGAAAAAGTGATGAATACGTGAGAGAGCACCGCACAATTGCGCACGAACACACAACAAACAAGACTATCTGCATTCCCTTGTCCTGGAAACATGGTTTTGCACACTGCCGATACAGTCCTCTATTCAGCAATACGAATTCCCCCTAAGTAGTCGTTTGCCGAACTAATGATCCTACTTCATGCTGAACAGGATTTTCGCATTATTGTGTAACCACACCAATAGACTGAGATATATAATATGCCCGCTTGCTGCATTCTACCTGCTTTTTCACGGTTCGCTTTCCACACTGCTCTCCCCTTCGCTATAACCTTAGTAGAACTCCATCTCGCTGATCCTTTATCCTTATCCTTTAACGTTGCACAACATAGGAACAAAATACTCCAAAATTGCCCTCCGCAGGCAAATTAAGCTTGAAACATATCAAGGTAAAGCCCTGAACTAATGCGCCATCGAATGCGCCATCGGCTCCGCTAGACATTTAAGCTAGTAGTTAATGGAAATCTTGTGCCATCTTGCACTTTTGTTAAGGCAACAGCAGCCCAAATTTCTGCCCTGATCTGATCTTGAGGATTTAAAATGCCAAATCCAGAGGTCGGCCTGAAATTGTTGGTCGAACTACCCTTGATGTTTATGCAGGCCATGACAACCATTGGCAACGGCGAACCCTCATCCCTCCCTTCTTTGTGGAAGCCATCACGGTGACAACGTATCTGGCGAGTCTGTGGATGTTCCAGATCCAGGAGACAAGGGTCGGCTCGTAACCTGAGGTTCAGCCACAACAAGCATCAACGAGTCCTCTTGCTCAGGGCACATAGCATTTCTCGACAGCCATTTTGCTGGCGGCTGTGGAGCTCAACGCAAATGGAGTCTTCTGTGCCCAGTATTGGGCACTAGTGACATGATGTATGCAAGACACATGTTGCCTTGATATTGTCGTGATGCGGTGATCACGAAACCAATTTGTGTTGTTGATGCTCTGCACGATTGTAGGAGGTTGGAAAGGCGGCCGGGTGCAGCAACACTCACATCAATAACATGGACAAAGATGCCAACCTGAACGATTTAAGTCAAACAATTTGCCGCCGGGCATGGCCGCCATAGGTTAATCTATGACGGAATGTTCCAATGCCAAGATCCTTGCTTTGATAATGGAACAAGTGCAATACACATTACTGCACATTAGAAAAGACACCGTCAAGCTAATGGCGATTCTTCCATGTTATGGAAGGGCCCTGGTCAGGGCTGGAAGAATGTACGGCGGAGCCTACGCTACTAACTATGGCGCCGCTATCAGTAGCATGAGTTGGGCAGCAGTGTTGACGAGTTGTCCATTTAATGTGGCACAAATTTTGCCACGTGGTAGTGGATCGCCAATCGCTGTCACGCGCTTATCAAACGCGTCGGTGTTGACGCAAAGTAGCTGCAATGTTCTGTGCAGTAGCTCTCCTGAGTTCCGGTACAAAACATGTATATTTGGCGGTGCAAATCCGCTGGGGTGTTCTCACGATGCTCCAGCTAATAATATTATTGTGTACATATCGCATTACCAGGGACAAGTCTCACCTCTTCAGATCCCATGGAAGCTCTGGCCCTCAAAGGCATGCTAAAAGGACTTCTGAGGTCTGCATAACTTGGCTTTCCTGGATGCACAGGGCTTCCGATGCTCCTCGCAGGATCTGTTTGGGGTGTGGTGTTCCGCGAAATTAAAGGCACAAATTGATCAGGCATGAGATCGCTGTCATCCGATTCCTCTTTGCTCATGATCAAGTAATCGATCCGCGAAATTCCATGACAGCAAAATGCGCATATGCGTCATTGCCGCTGTGCATACACACTGTTGCATCACCATATTTCGTAGTAATGCGTCACCAAGGTGAGTCCGATTGTGCGGTGCTCACCAGGCCCTTCGAACTACCATGCTGGAGAGAGAATGTGAGATAATTTCAGAGCAACAGGGGATCTGCAGTTGTATTGGATGCCACCATCATCTGAATTACTTTTCATTCTGTTAGGTACTAAATTCAAACGCCAAATGGTAACACGCAAACAGTGAAATATGCCAGCCCTCAGATGCCCAAATGAAATGGGATTGCAGTTTCCGTCCAAATCTACCAACGCAAATGCTCCCATAACTTTGTCCGGCTTGTCATGTAGGTGAATTTACAAAAGAGGGCCCTGACTTTGCAAGGCATTGAATTCGCGTTCATTTGCGTTAGTCTGGCAGGTGCCAGGGATGTTTTGATCCACTGTCCACACTTTGGCACATTTGGCGAATGGAATCCATTCGGAAGACCCTGACCATGTCCCTCAGCGCGCTTTGATGCCGGCGAGCCCCCACCTCCACTCCAAGGGCTTGAGTTTCGGAGTGTGAGAGAGCTCGCATGCTGTCCATCTTCCGCTGGTACCTGTTCATGGACCGGAAGGCACTTAAGAACTCATGGTATTTTCAACCAGTTAATGTATCCAGCAACCGACAAAGCCATCCTTCCAAACCTTGCTCAGTTAAACCGTTCATCAAACAATGGACCAACTGTGGACGGGAGGTGTTCAAGAGCAATTTTCAACCTACTTTCAATCAGTCCATCCACCAAACAATCAGCTAGTTGTCCAATAGTGCATACTACATAAAGCGAGGCACACAGCCATGGGATATTGAAGGAACGCAGAACCTGCTGGGTGGCACAAACGGAGATGTGCGAGCCGAAGGATGAGCATTATACCGGTATGCAGAATTTGCACATTTCT